GGGCCTCCTGCCCCTCCCCTCATTTTGAGAACCTCTTTTAAGGACTTGTGAAGCGGGTGCAGCTGAGGAAAGTTTCAGGTTTCCTTAGCGTGTATCGGGGGGGGGGGCTGTCTTGCCGCCATGTTCTTGGGGTTCCTTCGCCACAGATTGCAAGGGGGTCCCAAGTGTTTTCACTTGCACAATACACCAAATCGGGAGCAGCCACAACAGACAAGGCCCACCAGGGATGTCCTGGCGAGCTTTGTGCTTCAGGCTCTGGCAGGGGCCTTTGAGCGTCCCTTGTTCAGGGCGGTGGGTTCCCGAGTCTTCCTGGCCCACCCACATCCCACGTCCGCCCACATCCTCCTGCCATTTGCAAAAGGAGCTGAATGCGGGGAGATTCCCAGAAGCCAGGCCAGATCCCAGTTTTCTTCTTCAGTTGATCAGTAAAGCCCACCTTTATCCACCAGGTTAGGAACCCTTGCAAGGGGCTGGGGACACCCCCGAGGCCCGACTCTGCTTTGGGGTGCAGTGGCAGAATTCTGCCAGAGGCCTTCTGGGGGGGGGGCAGGCTGATCGTGCAAGGACCCTCTCAAGCGTAGCAGCCATGACTTTGCTGAAGCTCAGCCGATCTTCTGCAGACCTTGGGACCCAGCGGCCACGGTTCAAGAGTGCCACGTACAGTTGAGTCTCTTCTTTGGAGGAGGAGGAGTGAGGAACTCTGAGCATACTCAGAGAGCGGCTTCAAGGCCCTCCCACCCAGCTGGGGCCCAAGGCAAGGGGTCCCACCCCAAACCCTTCCCAGCATGACTCTGCTCCAGCCAGGGATCGTCCTGACAGCCACGCCTAAGCCAGGATTTGGGGCCGGCCTTTGTTTCCCTTCGGAGGCTTCTCCAGGCAAGCCTGACATGAGATCAGCCCAGCCGCAGGACCCGAGCCGGCTCAGCTCAGAGGCCGCCTTCGCCAGCTGCTCATCAATAAGTCAGAGGGGAGCAAACACCAGAGAGCAGGACGGCAGCCTCCAAAGCTCCCAGAGGAACCGGAGAGCAGCTTTGGCTCCCGGCTGAGCACAGAGAGCGGAGCAAACTTCAACCACAGCAAAGGGGGGAAGAGGAGCAGAGGCCGCAGATGGGAGGGGGGGCTCCTTCCAGGTCCTGGATTAATGGACAGGCAGGTCCATTTCTGGCTGGAAAGAGCCCTGCAAGATCTCGGTCAGAGGGGGAATCATTTTCCCCCTCTGTCCCTTGAAATCTTCACCCAGGAGTTGGTGGAAACATCAGGGCTGCAGTGCAGGCCTTCTCCTGCTGAGCCTCGGCCCCAGGAAAGTTGCCTGTAACTCCACCAAGGGTCCCCATAAACCCCCGAGGCTCAGCGGCTCAGGGGCCCTCCAAGCAAGGAGGCAGAGATAAGCCTTGCAGCCCACCTGGGCCTCAAGGAGCAGATCCACCCGGCTGCTTTTCTCTGAAAAAGCCCAGGGAGGCGACTCTAAAAGGAAGAGCAGGAGAGGAAGCCACGTCACCTTTGGCAGCCAGGTAAAGAGCACTAAAGGGGTGGACATTTTTCCTTGTGAGGTTCTTCTAGCAACATTGACATGTCAGAGGGAGAAATGTGGTTTTGTCTTACTGCAGAGTTTTTCCATCTAGGCAACTTCAATCCCCAGAATTCCCCAGCCAGCAAGTCAGGAGACCCCCCGACTCAGGAATTCTGGGAGTTGAAGTCCATGCGTCTTAAAGTTGCATGAGCCGAGGTGGCGCAGTGGTTAA